CTGGGAAACCTATGAGGACCACAATCTTGGTCATTTCTTAATTTATATCCAAATTTCTTGCAAAATTCTTCATCTCTCAGGTCGCGGTGAAGATGGTCCTTGGTCAATTTGAAGAGCGAAGATGACAAGGGGCACCTTTGGGTACTCCGCGCAACACTTTGGTTTGGCCAGTTGTATGAGCACCATTACTAATCTTTATGGTGTTCGTGTAAAGAAGAGCTGATATAACATTATTAAGATACGATGACACACCTCTTGTTACTATGGCCAACATTGTTAAAAGTACCGACAACGTCAAGGAAAACAATCGCACAATCATTTTTCATTCTTTGTGCATCTTTTAATATTGCGTCAATAATCCTTGCATTGACATGCGTTTCCAGGCGACCTGCCTTGTAGTTCAGAGCCTTCTCTATGATTTGGCTCACAATAGAATAGGTGGTGATAGGTCTCCAGGTATAGATGTTGTTAAAATCACCTTTGCCCTTATATATTTATATTGTGCACCCCTGTCGAAGTGATTCTGGGACATAGGTCACCTTCAGCATTATCTCTGCAATAGTTTTTATTATGTTTGATACATCAAAATATTTAATTCTGCGGATCAGAACTACATCAGGCCCCGGCGATGTGCCCATTGATGTTGATTTAAAGACTTTCTTGACAGCTTCTAGCTCAATGGACACCAAATTTGGCATCAGAGCATACTGTTCATAATCCACATGCATGCAGAGATTTTCGCTTTTAAAGAGGTCTTTATAACGCTTTTCGATTTCGGCCATATTTAGAGGACACAGCTTAGGAGCGTCAGCATTCATAATAGTTTGCACAACCTTTTTCCTTTTATAGTAATTGTATTGTGCTATCTCATACTGGTATTGTTCTTGCCGACGACCCCTATCTACTTTGCTCTCTCCGGATTTGAAGCTTGCCCAGCACCCTTGTCGGCATTTTCATTCTTTTTTCTCATTCTATAAAATTTGACGGCTGGGTGCTGGGGACCTGGCAGTTCTGCATTGATAACTTTGAGAAACGTTAGGAACTTGCCTACGGCCTCATCAAAATCCGCAATATTTACCATATTTTGTTTGAATAGGTTCTTGAATGTGGTAGACCATCCAACAATGTCCTGTTTTATTTTTGTTATCTCACTCTCTCCATTTTTAGGACCTATCACATTCTTTAGTATGCCCCCCAGGGTATCGTTGTTCGCCTCCCTGGGATGCTCTTTTGCATATGGGACAAACTTTATCATCAGGGCATAGAACTTGGCAGACAGCCCTTCATAAACTAAGCAGCCATTGTCAAAGTGGGGAAAAAAAAGGTAAATTACAAGATGCTTCTTGTTCTTTTAGAGGAATAGAATCACAAAATCTAAGGAGTTGATTACAGATAGTTATGGATTTTCTAATGATCAGATCCTCATCACTTGTTTGCCAACAGTGAAATGATATCTGTAAATGTTTGCTTCAAAATCCAAAAGATAAGTATTGGAAAAGAATTGTAACAAAAAATTAAAAATGGATATTTAAATAAAAAATTTGGTTAGTGCTGAGTTTTACTGTCTTCACTTAAAAGAGGAGTAAGGAAGAGTATATAAATTTCAGAGGAAACTAATTGTTCAGTTTTGGCTTATCACAAGTATATACTATGTAAAAAATGTACAGTAACAGCCTAATATCATGCGCACAATATACCTTCATTGATATATCTAAAGTAACAAAAACTTTTCCTATCTACTTTAATAACTGTGAACAAAAATAAACAATCAAATCTAATGAAAATAAAAAATTGTTTAGATAAATGTTATTGAAAACAAGAACCTCAAGGTTTCATATTTCAAATATGGTGGGTGATTTTTGAAATTACAGAGTTATTTCTAGGCAGACAAGATCAAGTAGTAATATATTGAAGAGGTCATATAATTGAAATTTGGATAATGGTTAACCCTTTGACTGCGGACGGGATACATGCCTTCCCATTAAGAGTTGGGTCACTGGTGCGGATGGAATATATGCCTTCCCGGTAGTGAGATGGGTCACTGGTGCGACCAGGATTAGGATTCATTAGTCCCCTGTAGCTAACTCAGTGCAGTCTTTCCGGATTCTGACCATTTGGAAGCTATCAGTTGCAGATTTATATTAAACCCAAGGTTTGTCCTTTCTCTGTTATTTGTATCATATCCATGATCTTATTTATATTCTATTTAAATGTTTTATACATTAAATAAATGTTAATAAGTTAATTTTATAATTTTTTCTTTTAATTTTGGTTTTGACTGAATGCTGATTTTGGTACAAGTGAATCTCTGTCTACTAAACAAATAACTGTAAGTTTCCTACATTTATATATATAAAATAAAATTATAATGTAAAAATATACGGAATGAAAATGATACTTTAATTGTTTTATCATTTTTCCATCCACCTAAAAACAATATATATATATATATATATATATATATATATATATATATATATATATATATATATATATATATATTATATATATATATATATATATATATATATATATATATATCATATAATATTAAAGTGTTTGAAACTCAAAATAAATGTAAGTGCAATAATAAAATTTATAGCTGGGCTATTTTCAACATTAATTTTTTTAGGAAAGAAAAAATTTTTAAATACAAAGAAATATATAATTTCAATCCTGCCATTGGTGTCCTTTTTTTAGAAATAATTTAATTTTTATGATCAGTTACAGTTATTTTTGTGATAATTTTCAGTTATTTTTCTTTTCAGAAATGAGCAAATACCTAAGAAAGCGAAGTGTTGCAGGATTCCGCACTAATTTTGAATTGCTGTGTGCGGCTGGGAAGGCATATATCCCATTTTATAAAAGTTGAATTAAAAACGTTAAATTGCATTTTTGAAAGCTAAGATCTTGCAGGGTGACTCACAATACCATTTTAAACAAATTTATGCAAACAACAGAAATCCACTTTGTTTTTTTAAGTCTTTGTGGATTTCAGGATGCAAAGTATGGTAGAAACTCGCGAATGAGCTCCCACTTTTGAAGGTTTAAGACACAAGTGTCATGTCTAGGTGACAGCTGGACCAAGATCATACTGTGCATAGTATCACAAAAGTAGACGAGTGCCTGAAAGTACATGGAGTTGACTAATCTCCATGGTCGCTGACAGGGTTGCCAACACTCAGCTACTTCCAGGATCAATCTACAGAGTGATCAATGATATCTTGACCGACCTATCAATCAGACATTAAACTTATGAACTAGAAACAAAATTCATCTACCATTTGTTAAATATATTTATTTAAAACTTGAAAACACAAAAAGGCTATTTTGATAGTTCAAAAACAAGAAAATTCGTTAAGTTATTAATATTATTTTGAGAAGTCATAAAAATGTATAGTTAAAGCTATTAAAAAAAAAAAAATAACATTTTAAATGCATTTAAAACTAGTAAAAATCAGATCAAGACTCATTTAAAAGTTTTTGTGAATTGGATGCAAAATGCATATAATTATAAATAATTGACGAGAAGTTGATTGCAGTTTTCAGTCAAAATACAAACAAAAAATATACTAAATATAATTTGTATATTTTTATTTTGGATTTTGACTGAAAACTCCAACCAATCCCTCATTAATTATTTACTACAGTCAACCATCAATCCACAATCATAAATATAAATAATATATTTAATAATTCCATTCGCTTATGAATTATTTTTGAACATCAATATGATTGATGTAACATAAAACATACTAACAGTTACCAATAATACTAATAAAAATAAGTTAAAATTGTATATAAAATTTTAGTCCGAACAAGGACAATGATAAAAAAAAAAAAAAAAAAAAATGTAACCGCTAAAATTTCCATTTTTTGCAAGGCGATACCAAAACATATTAGATACCTTCAAGTCATTTTAAAAAAATTAAATTTCTTATTACATAACTGAATAAAAAAAAAATAAAATAAAAAAAAAATACACCAAAGCAGCTGACATGATTTAACACCCACAAACATTAGGCATTGAAAATGTAATCCACACCTTTTTTAAAAAAAATTATGAATGAATAAAACGGCGAATGCAACAGTACATATTTAAATGGTCAATTAAGTGGCAGCATTTATTATTTTAAGCTGATGTAAAAATGTGTTATTGAGAGAAATCTAATAAAATAGTTATCTAACTATATTATACACAGATTACTTAAACCTAATATAAGTTGATATTTTACAAAATTAACAAAGTTTATACATAAAAGTTAAGATTGTGGGTTGTTTAAGTTATTGTGATCAATAGAAATGTTTCCATTTAAATTTTATTAAAAAGAAAAATAAATAAAATTGTGCTTAAAATGAACATGAAATAATATATAAGAATTTTTTTATTTTTTATAATTTATTGAGAAACTGAATATTAAGAGAAAATCTTGACAGCAATGTGGATAAAAGAGTAGAAATAAAATTAAATGACAGTGATAAAGATGTGACTGTGTCTTTTTAGTTTTTATATTAATTAAAAGCATGAATCATCTAATATATACATATAAAAATAGGAAATTTTGAATACAAAATATATCGTTATAGTTTATTTACACTCATGTTTAATGATAGTTAGACATCTTATTAAAAAATAAATTATATAAATATTGCTAATTTGTAAAAAAGTAGCAAACCTCAAAAATAAAAGATTTTCAGATCTTACTTTATCATAATCAACAAGATTGGTAAAATTAAGCTAAAGTTGCAAATGTTTTCGAATTGTGCTAATATTCTGTGCAATTGAAATGATTGGCAAAACTTCACAAGGTAATTTTCATTAATAACAAAGTATTAAATAAAGAATAAATCTATTTTTAAAAAACAACAAATAAATAGAATAGTAAGAATGTGTTATTAGAATCATCTTTGCAGGCCTATAACAGCAAAGTGTTTATTTTGTCAAAAGCAATAAATGACAGTGAGCCAAGCCATGCGATTTGGATTAAAATTATACTCACACGCCATTATACCACAGTGAAATAGTACTGGTTGGAATAAGGAAGAAAATGGCAAGAGCGATATATGTTGAGATTTCCATCGCAGAATTATCACTGACTAAAGAAACATGCAGCTTAATTTTATATATTTGTTAAGTAGTTATTTAGCAATGGAACTAATCCTACAGCTGAAACTATATCTGAAACAGTAATTTACTTATTCTTGTCACTTGTAATGTCAATCATGATAGAAAAACTTAAAAATATTTCAAAACAAATATAGGTACATGAAACAGATCAGATGACAAAGAATTCAATTGAATGAAAATTTCTTAAAATAACTGTGAAGCATTCATGACAATCTTTACCATTGGAAATAATCTTAGAAATAAAAAAAATGACCCAACAAAACAAAATGAATATGTTGGTTTAGTTCATTATTTAAAGAGCAATAATTTTGTAATACAAAAAAATGGATACATAATGTGAAATATACATTATAATGAGTAATTACCTCTTAATGAATCTTCTTTTATAAATTAATTTCATTATGTTTCCAAGCAACCTTTAAAAAAAAACAAAAGATAACCATTAGAATTGCACAAACTTATGACAGTTAATTTTTCAAATAAAAAATTGATAATTAATTACTTTAAATAATAAACTAAGGTACACTTATTCGGTATAAATTACGATCAGTACCAAATAACCCTGAGCACATAACACTCCTAAATGACAAGTGCAACTGAAGAACCCTCCGTTTATTTTAAAAACCTTACCAGTTCATGAAATCGATTAATTTTTATCTCATGGATATCGATTGGTAGCAATCGAACACACAGTAGGTTATAAGTGGTAGGTTATGATAGCTCAGTACATGTAAACATTGTTGTGATAATTCTGTTCTACTCTGAAATGAACTAATTATTTTATCTGTTGTTCGAACTTGTATTTTGAGGTGGTAAGGATGTTATAATTAGTCTTGTTATTTATTATCTAGAAGTGTATCTATTTTGTGGAGTAATGTTTTATTACCTTAAAGGAGTTAATGGAAAAATATTGTTATTATAAGATGAACAATACAATTAGTGATTGTTTAAAGACAGTGATGTCATTCAAGTAAATTTCAGACTAATACCTAATTTTTTTAAAAATGTCTTTTGATAAAGTTGATGACATTTTGCCAGATGATTCTGATTTTTATTTGAAAATTGCCAATAAAAAAATTACTTTTGAAGGAATAAGTAAGTCTCAACTCACTAGTGTTTTTTTCGATGAAGCGAATGCTCAAGTATTTAGTATATCTTCAGGGGATGTTACAGATGTAAAAGTTAAAAGCCCTATTGAAAGTTTTTGTAGTTCTTTTAAGATTATCGAAAAAGGCCGCATAGTGTCAATAAAGTTTTCGTTTGACCAAACCATACTTGCATTACAACGTACACAGACTGCTGTAGACTTTTTGACATTTGAAGATGGAAAAGTATCTAAGGAATTTACCCAGACATTTAAGGGCTGCAACCTACTCGGTTATTTGTGGACTGGAAAAACAGAAATAGTTCTTGTCACCAATGTTAATGTAAAGTTATGTAAAGTAGACATGCGTTCAGGAACTCTTACCACCATAAAAAGTCTAAATCTGAGTATCAATTGGTATAATTATTATTCACCTATCAACTTGCTTCTAGTGAGTTTGGCTAATGCAAATAATGTAATGCAACTTCTCCAAATAAAGCAAAACCAAATTGTGAAACTTGTGAAGTTTGATATAGATGATGAGTATGTTTCAAAGACTAAAAAGTTGATCGCAGATCGAGATATAGTTTTGGGAGTTGTCTACAACCAACCAAGAATACTATTTCTTAATGTTCATACCACTAGCGCAGAAGCAGAAGTAATTGTTTACACTATAATAAAATTGTCATCAATCAAGAGGACTCATGTGTTAAGAATAAATCAAAGCGGAAGATTTGCATTGAATATTGTTGATAATTTGATCATTGTTCATAATCAGATAACTAAAACTTCTATTGTATTTGACATAACTAATGCTGAATTTCAGGGTGCTGTTAAATTTCATAATCCAGTTTTAGAACCTAAATCAATTAAGCCATTTCAAGAAAATGTTGCTAGTTCATCCCAAAAAAATACTTATGAACTATACAATCCCAACTGGGTGATGTTTCAACCCAATATTATCATGGATGCCAAAGCTGGATGTCTCTGGTTTATAGAAATTGACCTATTGGGATTTTATAAATATATTGAGGATAAGAGAGAACTCATAGCATTCTTGCTGTTGCGTTCAAATTCCAAATTTGTGATAGCTAAAACTTTAGAAACTTTACTCGAAGATGGTTTTAATAAAATGGAGGAATTGGCTGACATCTTTGATCAAATAAATTACGTTTATAGGAGCTATCTTGAGGAAAATATGAAGAGCCAAATGGGTTTACCATCTTCCATGACGAGGCCAGAAGAAGATCCGGTTGTAGAATTTAGAACTGTTGTTGATCAGTACTTTGTATATTCATATGTTCTTTGCAAACTTGCTGAGAAAGTGTCAGAAAATGTTGAAAGGAAAGAATCTAAAATTTTAACAATGTCATTGCTACAATATATCAGATCGCTTACTGATTTTCAAATACCAGCCCAACATTTTCTGTATGAGCTTCTAATAAATTCCTTAGTTATTCAGGGAAAATTTTATCAATTATATCAATTGCTCCAGTATCGTGTTGTCGCAGATTCAAAACCATTAGCTTGCCTGTTACTCTCTCTAGAAAATGTTTATAATGGAGCTTCTCAATTGGCTGTTGATATGTTGGAAAGACTGGGCTCTGCAAAGGAAGAAATTATTGAGATTCTACTGTCTAAGCAGCAAGTTATGCCTGCTATACGCTATGCAGCTAAACATGGTGCTACAAATGATAGAAATCGATTTGCCAAATTTCTGGAAGTTGCAAAGGAAACTGGAAATAATAAGTTATTCTATTCGGTTTCATCGCATTTTAAAGAAAACTGAATCCACTTTATTTTTGTAATGGTAATTTGTAAAATTTCTATTTTTGTTTATTAAATACAATATATAAGTATTTAAATGTTATAAATATTTAATAAATAATATATTTATATAATACATCCTTCTCAGACTTTATTTTCCTTTTTTTCTTGTTTATCTAAGCCTTCTTACTTTTGATTATAATACATTATGAATTTCATTTTATACTTAATGAAAACCATAATATATAAATTTAGTTTGAAATTAATATTTGTTAGAAATATGCCATGTTAACTGTAATAATTTTATTTTTTGGGGGAATGATTTAATAATTTATTTAATAAAATCATATGTTTAATTTAGTAAGTGCAAATAAATACCACTCATTTGTAATGTTGGGAATATTATGTATGGAATACCGATTTAAAAAAAAAAAAAAATGGTTTGGGAAAATTTAATTTGAAAATCTTATACACTATAGCTCATCTATTGTGGAGGTTCAATTGCTTGTTTGTTATTATAGCTTAAGTAAAAAATAAAATTAATGAAGTATCAACAATAAACAAGCGGAGAATAAAAGAATTCTTTAAACTCTAGTTTCCAAAAAAATATTTTTTTTTTGCTTTTATTAGTATTCTTCCTAGAGTATGGCATTTAATATTTCCTATTATTTGAAGAAAAGGTATATAATATTAATATTGTACTATAGTTATATTAAAATTACTAATGGTACTCTACCAATAATCTATAAGAAGTATATACGTATAAGCAACATTAGCAAACCATATTAATTTATTCATATGTACAACACAATATTATCAAGACAGCCTATTAAACATATCAATATTATTATTAGTCTATTAAAATAACAATTTACTAAAGTAATTAACTTGCCCTATTGGAAAATATATCACCAGTTTTATAGTTAAAAAATAAGACACTGCTATCCTGGAACTTGAAGTAATCCATTATTACACTCTCTCCAGACTTATTTATTGGTGCATTTGGAGCCTTGGTTTGTAAATCCCTCACTAAGAATATAGAAGTCTATTACTGAGAGTATGGAAGCCATACCTAGGTATATATTTTTTATTTATTAAAAATATCAAAACTTTTTTCTATATTATTCTATATAAAATTTTTTTCTATATTTTCATTTCTATATTATTTGATGTGCCCATTAGATCAAAGAGTGATTCTCTATCATCTACTTTTTCAACAGATTTTTAGTTCTTCGAAGACTGACATAAAAAAGCAATATTTTCATTTTTAAAACCTAAAAGCGTGATGGATATCCCATGTCAACCATATTAGACTAGGAGGAGCTACCCACCATTTCATTTTACTGAAGGGTTTACAGTTAATAACCATTTTAGATTCTATATAAACCTCATCTGACAAAAATACATCTGTGTGTTTAACCACAAATGATTATGGATTGTACTATTATTAGTTATTAAACTCTTACTTTTCCATTGTGAGATTAAAGTGGATTTGAGAGATTTTCATTGCCTACTATTTACGATTGGTCAAAAATTGTCATGCTAATTGCAAGCATTAATGTATGATTTCACAAATGGAAAATTCATCAAATTATTCACTAATTTAGTTTTCTTTAATATTTAATTTTTATAGATACCTAATTATTTATTTAAATTTAATATCGGATCTAGAGTTATTAAACTACGGTAAATTTACTTAATGTTATAAACATATAACCCTGAAATATTTTTAGGTTTCACTTCTTTCAAACAAGTACAATGAAATAGTTTTTTAAATAATGCTATTTCCTTTTTCAAACTTGAACATAATTTTAAAATTTTACATTTTGTTAGGAAAGTTCATGTAATTTCCTTGGAAATGTGTGGTTTCAGTTAAATGATTTTAATTGAATACTTAATAGTTGATCATTGTGTATTTTAGAGGAAGGAAATGGTCCCGGGTGGCGTTCATAAATAGACTAAAATAGAGGGAAACTATTTTATTTCAAGCCAACGTTTCAAACAGACTTTGCAGGTCTTCTTCAGGGCTAGAACGGACAAGATTTTTCATTTATTTACATCAGTTTAAGATCTTGTTACTTAGTTTACTCTGTTTATATAGTTTATTGTTCTTAATATTTCAATATACTTACTGTTTATAATTTGAATAAGTTTATTCGCCTCGTTTATAATTTTTATCTAAATATTGGGCAACTTCCACAATTTTCTATATCCTTTTGTATCTTGTAGATTCTAGCCTTGAAGAAGACCTGCAAAGTCGGGTAGAAACTTTGGCTTGAAAGCAAATAATTTTCCACTATTTTAGTCTATTTATGACCGCCACCACGCCCCATCTCATTCCTCTTAGTTTTCAGAAATTATTGTTTGTAATTTTTTTGTCACCCTCTATTTCCTTCTACGATTTTCAATATTATATATATATATATATATATATATATATATTATATATATATATATATATATATATATATATATATATTTTTTTTTTTTTCTCGAAAATTCTCAACTTTCCTACGATATATTATACTATATCATCTGAATATTATTTCTGGAGATTCATTTTCGACCTAAATAAACATTTTTTTGTTATTCAATTATCTAATAATTTGAAAAATCATATTTAGCCTTTTTTCATAACTGCTAACAAATGATAATTATTTAAAATAAACCAAATTAAAGGTACTTCAGAGGAATAAAATTTTGAACATTTGGTATTTAGCCATGTTAAACGACATCAATGGAGATAAGACCTTAATGATATTAAAGACATTAATTACATTAATTAATTACACATTGATATACCGAGTTTAATGAAAATCGTTAGAACCGATTTTGAGAAGTTGTAAGCTAGACACAGACCATTTTGTGGTACTAGGTTATTTTGGACTAAAGGGACCTCAAAACATGTATTTTAGTTGAAAAATCAGAATCGAAAATTTTCACCATCGCTATACTTTCCCTTACTATATATTACATATGCAGTCCAGTAACCTTGTATATCGTAAGTTGCATTGAATGGGGTTAGAAGGTTTCTTTTTATTTTCTTGTAAGGGGTTATGACTAAGATGCAAAATCCAAGTTTTGAATTCGATGCCTCTTTCCGGATCATTTTTTAATATCCCAAAAACTCCTATATTTTCACCTTTTTTCTGTTTTCACCCATTTTATCTATGGAGGAACACCTTTTTGATAAAAAAAATCTATGCATTTTTAAACTAGGTGAAATTTAACACCAGAACAGGCTCAGTAAATCAAATAGTTTACGAGATACAGACTTTCAAATTTTAGAAAAAACTTTTTTCCATTTAAATTATTTTTCATGTTTGATCATATGCAATTATCTTTTATCTTTAATAACCTATCTGATATGTGTCAGTGAAGTAAATATTTAATCATTTTAATATATTGAAGGAGGAGTGATGGAGGGGAAGGTGCACCTTCTGTGCACCTTCCCTTCACATCACAGGCGGATCTACGGGGGGAGCTTTCGGGCTGAAGCCCCCTCCCTCCCCCCAAAAAATGATAAAATATAACCATGTTTTACAGAAAAAAATATTAAAAACTATCTCTTAAAGTATTCTTGTTCGTGTAATTACATTTAATAGGACTTCAAGAACCACTTAAACACCATTTCATATAGGTAATTAATTTCTTTCTTTTTTTTCTAATTAATTATCGTTATATGTATATGAAAAAAAAAACTTACGGGCTGAAGCCCCCCCAAAATTAAATCCTGGATCCGCTAGTGCTCCACATCACTATAAATTGCACATTGTTGTGTTTCTTGTAACTATATATTTAAAAAAAGACCATGTTCCCATAAAAAATTGGTCGCATTGTCCCAAACATGGCTGAGTGACGACTTTGACTTGAATTAGTTTTTCGGTCACTGAGGTTCAGAAGTTGGCTTAATATCGTCATAATTTGTCTTTTATTGAAGCTGGATAGTCAGAGTATCATAAGTCATAAAAAAAAAAATTAAATAAAAAATAATAGGCTTTGGCAATTAAAAATACCAGTAAAGTCAATTTTTTCAAGTCGTTCAAACTAAAGTTTAAAATCAAGCGTCATTTGTAACTAAACTGCCAACAATAACGAATAACGCCCTGAAATAAAACATTTATCTTTTTAAATCACTGATTGATTGTTTATATATTTGAAATAGTACTTTAGAAAAGGCACTTAATCGGCGGAAAAGCGTCACTGGCGTAGGCGCCTACAAAAAAGATCGAACGCAATAAATGATTAGGTCATTCTAGCTCTTATTTTATGAATTATTTATAGCCATTCCTATTTACATGTACCTTACTTCTTCAAAATACTAACTTAAAAAAATGTTTACTTCACTAAATATTTTAAGGCAGGTTATTGAAGACATAAACATGAAATTAGCTGAACATTTTCAAGTTTCGAAAATTTTATTTACTATTTTGGTATGCACTTGATGTAAATGTTGGTTAAATAATTTTTTAAATTCAATTTCAGTCTGCTGGTTGTGAAATGTGATCTCCTCTCCCACCAAACTTCCCCTCCTCCTTCACACTTCCTTCAAAATTAAATGAATAAAAATTTACTTCGTTGAATCATACAAGACAGGTTATTAAAGATATAAAGACAAGTGCGTATGATCAAACAGGAAAAATAGCTTAAAAATTTCAAGGTCGAAAATTTTCTAAAATTTGAAAAACTGTATCTCTTAAACTATTGGATTAACTTAGGCTGTTCTTGTGTTAAATTGTAGCATATTTAATTTAGTTCAAAACTGTATAGAATGTATTTTGTCAAAAACGTGCTCCTTCATGGTTAACATGGGGGAAAAAAAAAAGTGCGAAAACATAACAGTTTTTGGATTTTTAAAAGGTGATATCGGGGCAACGAGCTCGAAAACTTGGATTTCGCATCTCAGACACATCCCATACAAGAAAAACCAAAGATCTTCTTCCATTATTCGATGCAACTTGGAACCCCCTTTTCATGGCAGTGTTACTGGGCTAATTTAGGTTAGTGAAAGTAAAAAAATTAAGGACCAAAATGCTCCTTCAAGTCCGAGCAGTCTAATGGTTTTTCATTTATTCATTTATTAACAACTCTATTTCCTATCGTTTGTCATTCATTCTACAAAATCGTTCGCTACCGATAG